AACCCACATCATTTTCCCAGATCTGGGGCTGCAGGAGGTCAAAACCTCACAGCCACTCTTATTTCCTCCCTAATCGTAGGTGTGGGGTACCCAAGGACGTAGACAGTTTGTGATTTGGGTGGGAGGGGGGAGCAGAAAGCACGGTTGCTTCTTGCCCATCTGCAGCCGGTGCCCATCAGCCTGCGGCACACCAGCATGCCAGCCTGCACGCTTCCTTGCCAAGAGCTGGAGCAAACCTTCCTGGAAGACCAAATGGCCCAGTACCATCCATAAGAGGATGCTTCTGGCATGTAGCTTTGCTCCAGTAATCCGTGTCAAAAAAAGCGCCCCTGGACCCTCAGAGCCCTCCCCACTGGGATGAGCACAGGGCAGTGTTTGCAGAAAGCATCCGTCCCTCTCCCACTTCCCGTACGGCCTTGGGACATTGTCCCCTGCCGGGACGTGAGGATGCTTTGCTTTCCTCCCACCAGCCTCCTGGAGCTGGTGTGGAGAGGCTGCAGGAGCCGGGCCAGGGCAGGATGGAGGGACCCAGCCTGGTGGGACCAGTGCCCAGCTCCCACAGCCCCGGGGCTCGCCCATGGGGCTGCTCCCTGCAGGAAAGGGGCTTTGTGCCAGTGCCCTGCTGTGCTTCCCAGCTTTTGGCCCTCTCCGTCATGCTCAACAGGGAGCTTGATGTCTCAAAGAGGATTAACTCCTTAATCCTCTTGTGAGCCTTGTGAGAGTGGGAGGCAGCGGAGGAGGAACAGAGCAAGGGAGAAGCCAAGGCGTCAGCACAGCCCTTATCAGACCCTGGAGAATCTTCCCCACGGGTTAGCTGACCAGCCGCGGGGACTCTGGGGTGCCCATGCTGGCCGGAGGACAGTGCCAGGGCAGTTTTAGGGACCACAGTAGTTATAACTTTCCTTCCTGGAGGGCCTTCTGTGACGCCTCAAGAGGAGTTGAAGTCCTGCTCTCTCCTCCATGTAACTGGGTTTAGGAAGCCCCAGCCTGCATGGGGTGACTGGGCTCTGAGAGCACTGTCCCCCCGTGTCCCCCTGAGCCCTTGTGTGTCCCCAGGTCCTGCGGGCCCTTCAGGGACAGTGGGAGAGCGCAGCTGGGACGAGGGCTCTGCTTGGGCTGGAGATGGTGTTTTCGGTGTGTGGCTGTGCAGGCAGGTGCTCCGGCTTCCCACCGAAAGCTCTCACGCAGTCTGGGACACCACTTTCTGTTGCACGCACACACACACACACGGTAAATTGCATCTTTATGATAATTAGTGCCAATCATCCTCCCGGTTGTTCGGACAGACGGAGCCGCCTGGCGTCTGCACAAAGAAATGACAAGCCCATGCCCAGCCAGCCGGACACCTGCCCGCCACCCCGTTTCAGCCCCACAGCCGCCCGCTCCTGCTCTCAGCAAACAATCCCAGCCCTCGGCCAGAATCTCCCCGTGCTGGCGCTGGTCTGGAGCAGCCTGCGGACTGCTGGGACCCTCAGGGCTGGAGTGCTCCGGCGTCCAGCGTGGACCTGAGCTACAGGGGGGTTTCATTACCCCACAACAATTAACCCTCCAGTAGACACCATGGCCATCCATGTCCCCTGCCCCAGCTACGGAGGTGTCACCTAGCCAGAGGAATATTCTCAATGGACGGGTTTGAGTTTGCTGGGGGTTTTTTTCACAAGTCTGTGACTAGGTAGCAATGACATCAGCTCATCCCGTGGGATCTCCGGCTGGCTCCCTGTACACATGCACGGTGCCAGGCGGGTGCCGTGCCCGTCCCCCTGGGTACGGGGACTGGCAGAGACCCAGGGCTTGCACGTACCTTGTGGACACTCGAGCAAGAGCTGCTGTCCCGGGGCCAGGGGAGGAAAAGCCCCAAGGGGAGAGGTTCACCACCAATTCCTGCAAGTAACGTGCTCCAAGAAAACCTGAACTGGACACAAACTCTCTTCCTCCTGGTCCATCTCCAGCACCAGCAGGAAGACCATGCCCCCGTCCTTGAACCCTGCAGCTCCCGGTGTCGGCATGGGCGTGGGCTGTGCCAGGACCCTGCCATGACACAGGCGTCTCCTGGGGTCCGGGGGTGGCTTTCAAACAGGTTGTGACAGAGCCACGGTCCTGGAAAGGTGAATGGGAGCCCCAGGGCCAGGCTGTGTTTGTTTATCCTGGTGATGGAGCACACAACAGCGAAACAAAAGGTCAGACCCTGTTGCCCTGGGAGATGGTTTTTGAAGCTGCCTACCATCCTGCTGGGGTTCGATGGAGCGGCCGGCGCTTGTCATGTCAAGTTATTTTTGTAATTTTGGCTGGTAATAGGTCTGAAGCAGTCTCCCAGATGCTGCGAGCTTTGAGGATACACGGATACAGGACCAGAAGGGCCCTAAACACACTGAGAGAGGAGCACCCAGCTCCAGGGCTTCAGAGACAGATCCCTGCCCCAGACCCCAACCAGCATCCTTCCTCCAAAGGACCAGGCACCCACAGCTCCTCCAAGCATCCCGAAAGGTCGGGAGAGTCTGATCCAAACTTCATTTACCTTTGGCCCATCAACAGACACAAACTTCTTCAAGTGTCGGCCAGGTTTAAGGCGGATGCTTTGAGCTCACTGCTGGCGAGGGTGAACTGAGCACCGCCAGCCAGCGCTGCACGGAGGGAGGGCAGGCTCTGACCGGCCCCTTGCAGGCTGGTCCCAGCTGACTCTGCTTTTACTCCTGATGCTCTTTGCTTGAGCTGAACCGATAAACAGCAGTGTCAACTCCAAACATCGCCTTGCCCAGCTGGGGGGAGCCAAGGTTGAGCGGTGTGGAGATGGAGAGTGGGGCTGTGCCCACGATCTGCCTCTTCCGTCGCTGGACCTCAAAGCCTCACATGGCAAAACCCACCAGACTCCATTTTTTTGTGAGTGGGGAGACTGAGGCACACAACCGCATGATGTCCAGGCAGGGAGCACACAGAGAGCCAGCGAAGAAGCAGTAAGACATACTGGGAGCCCGGATTCATGGTGTGAGAGTATCCCTGTCCCACCCCAGCAGCTGCATCTCACGTTAAGGGTCAGGTGCAGCACATCCGTGCCTTTGCCTCTCCATAAAACCCTCAAACCATCCCTGCAGCCGGGTACTTTGGGGTTTCTCCTCCCTCTGGCAGGAGCAGGTAGATGGGACATAGCCCGAGCCTGGAGGAAAGGCACCTTCTCTCTGGGCATGAGACCAGCAGGGAGTAAAACCCGTGCATACCAGCCCTTGTCTTGCTGCTTCTGGTTGTCAGCACGAGGAGCTTTTGTGTTTACCCAGACTCAAGGGCAATCGCCCGTCACTAACAACACAATATTCCTCGGCCCCACTGCCCTGAGCCTTGCAAGGAAGCAGGACGGAGCTGGTGGGAGGGCAGCGCTGCCGAGGAAAGACAAGCAGCCCCCAGGACGTCAGGACAGAGGTACAAGATCTGTTGAGCTGGGCTTGTGGTCACACGTGCAATTGTTGGCCTGAGCTGTGCTGGGGACAGTGGCAGGGCCCTCTTTCTGGGCTTAGACCTCTGAAGGAGCAGCCCAGGACACACCATTAAGGGTCTGATGGCAGCTTCGGATGCCCAGCGCCTGGGAAGCGAGGTGGGCACCCCTGGTGCTGCGTGTGTGGTGGCTGGCACGTCGGCTCCCTCCTTGGTGACTCAGTTTCCTCGTCTCGTCTGTAAAATCCAGTTTCTTGGATTTTGAACCCTGTCCAGCCCTGAAGGGGGACCCCAATGAGCAGTCATGGGGGCAGCAGAGGGCTTGCTTCCACCGAGCGGGTCTCTGCTGTCAGAGAACAAAGCACAACCACTTTGGGGAAGAATGTGGCAAAGCTGTTCCCAAGCCCCCAAACCAGCAGAAATTGGATTCCCTCCATATTCACACTCATCTCATTGATCATGTATTTGCGTTTGATAGCTCTGCAAGTATTCAGGGGATGAGTTTTCAACAACTGTGGTATTTCAGCCATGATTTGGGGAACCATTACTCTTGCAGGCAGCGCAGAGCACAAGATACCAGGCAATCACGGGGCACAGGGCGATCAAGGTGGAGCGGTGGTTGGCAAACAACTCAGAACAGCCAAGCTCTTTATAATTCATTATAATATTAATTATAATCTCATTTAAAACAAAGTTAACTTTTGCCCCTCCAGGAACTTTAATGAGGCCATATTTCTCTTAACATTTCTCTTACCAGCTCCTGGCTGCGTACTACAAGCTGTGCCCCAGCCAGCCCCAGAGAGCACACAGCAGAGCGGGCTGTCATCTCTGCCTTTTGGGGGACTCCTTCCTTACGGTTTTAAAACAGAGGGAGAGCGGGCAAAAGCGAAATTGTGGTTCTCGTGTCTGGAAGAATTGTGTAGGTTGAACATGTCCTTCAGAGCAGTACCTCCCTTCTTCCCGACAAGCTGTTGGCTGTTTCAGGAATAACTTATAAATTAAGGATGGGGAGGGGGCTGCCCTTAGCAAAGACATGCGCTGGCTAAGTGTGACCATCTGACCCACGCGGGAGTGGAGGAATTGTCATCCTTGGTATCTCAAGTGTTAGCATGGACTGAGGACGGTTTGGAGAGATGAGGCTTAGAGAAAATAGAGTTAGAAAAGAAGTGTTAAAGGCCTGAGAGAAGCCACTAATCTCAGGAACTGGAGAAGTGGAGATCTCTCCTTTACACATCAGTCCTCAGGCCAGCTCTGGCACCAGCCAAGCTGTCACTGAAGCCAATGGACCTCTTTGGCTGGTTCCTCCAGCTGCAGATCCAGGTTGCTGACTCATTTTTGTGCCACGGTCCCTGTTTTATATCCTGAGCACGTCATTAGCTGGCAGGGCTATGATCTGGTCTCTGTTACATTGGGGCGAATCCAGACTAGCACCAACACCTTGACCCTGGGTAGACAGCAAGTACCTGAGCTCACAGTATGACCTCAGAGATGGCAGCAGGCAGGGATCATTACTGAATGGCAGGGACCATTACTGAATGGTCCCACTGTTTCCCCCAAACAGGGACGAGAGATTTGTCATGGACTACACTCTGGAGACCAGCCAGCAAAAGGAGAAGCTTCTGAAAACCATCTACACTCTCCAGCTGAAGTCAATCGCCACGCTCCAGACAGCCAGCCCGCTGCTGAGGAGCCAGCGTGGCATGGGCATGGTGACGCAGCACCAAGTCCACCAGCTGGCAGACAAGGCCAAAAGCCTGTGTGAAGACTTGGACAATGTTAAAAACCTCCTCCACTATTGCCAGGACAACCTGGTCCAGCAGATCCCCAACCCCACTGGCAGCCGCTATGGGGGAGTCAGTGGAATCCACTGCTCCCTGGATGGCTCCATCTACGTGACAGCCGAGAGTGCTCCCTGGGTCCATGTCCTCAGCAGCACAGGCCAAACGCTGCAGTCCCTGTCCTGCCGGCAAATGGGGAAGGAAAGCGACACTTTCTTGCCAGAAGATGTGACTGTGACTCGGATGGGAATGGTGGCCGTAGCAGACATGATGAATGGAACCATCTGGGTCTTCAACCCTCACACCAGCCTCTCCAAGGGGGAATGGATAAAGATCAGAAAGGTTGGTTCCCCCAGGGGTATTGGAGTGGACTCCATGGGCAAGATCTTGGTAGCAGACTACGCACAAGGCCAAGTCCACAGCTTTGCTCTGGACCATGCCTTCAAGACACTCAATATCCACTCGGTCCCCAACCTGCAGGGACCTCGTTATGTCAGTCCAGCACCCAACGGAGGCTTTGTGGTAAGCGAGGAGTGCGGAGATGTCAAGGTCTTCACCAGCAGCCGTAAGCTCCTCTGCTCCCTCAGCAGCAAATATGGGCACCGGTTTGGCAACCCAGCTGGGGTCTGCATTGACGTGGATGGCAGCATCCTGGTGGCAGACGAGCAGCGCCGCACCGTCCACTTGTTCCCAGAGCACGGGTCTCCCATCTGTCTGGTGTCCACCGGGCTGCGGAGGCCCGCTGGTGTGGCTTGCTCCTCCTTCGGGCACCTCTTTGTGGCAGATGCAGGGGAGAACTGCGTCAAAGTCTTTAGGTACTGCATGAGGCCCCCTTATAGCCCTGCCAACCTCGGGGCACCATGGTGGGGAGCGGGGCTGGTTCCACTCCAACCCTGCTGAGCTTTGGGTCTGCTGGTGGGCTGTGAGCTCCGCTGCTCCCAGAGCTGGGCATTGTCCCCATGCTTGACTGCATTATTGCCCTCCAGCTTCTCCTCCAGATGGACTAGACCAGTTCTGAGTTTCTTGGACCTACCAGAGTAGCTGAAGGAGGGAGGACGGAGCTACTTGAAACTGGCCACACATTGGTGCCTTGGCAAACTTATCACTGTGCCCTCAAATCCTTGTCTATTTTTTCAAAGATAACATAATTATTTCTCTTCCCTGCACACTGCTTTTATGTGGCCATGGTTCCACCTTCCTGATGCCAGAGGACAGCTGGAGTGGTAAGGGCAGGAGCTGGCAGCCATGGTCTAGGTTTGCAGCAGATTTCAGGAGAACAGTAAAATGAATGTAACCCATTCCGTGCTGCATTCCTGACCTCTACAGGGAAGCAACAACTACTGCACAGAGTACAACGCATACGGGCATGTAGAATTGCTCACATCAAGCTGGGTCCTGGGGCTGAGCCTGCCCTGCTGCCCTATTTTCCCCCAGGGAGAGGAGGGCTCAGGGAGCCATGGCCGTCGCCTTTATCAGCAGAGGCCAGGGGAAAGCAGGCAGGGTGTGGTGGCAGAGGGAAGGGCATTTTCTTCTCCTCCCTCCAGCCCTCCACACGGTGCTGCTGACTCCTTGGCCTCTGCTGATGTCCCAGACATGAGTCCAGTCACGGCCTCTCACCCCAAACAAGCCCCAGCGAGGCCCCTTCCTCCTTCCTGGCCCTCGTGCAAGCGCTAACAACGATGGCTGCCCTGTGGTGCCCTCCCAAATCCCCTCTCCCCACAGAGCGAGCCCGGCAGCAGGGAGGGAGGCTGCGTGGTTTGCAGGAACAGGGCTAAGCCTGTCCCATCCCCTCCCTTCACAAGAGCTCCCAGAAAAACCAACCTTACCCCACCTTATTTCTAATTCTGTGGCACCCAACAACAACAAAAAAGCCCTTTACTCTAGCCCACCCCTGCAGGCCCTGTGTCCACCACCTCCACACCTGCTCCAGCCCCCTCAAGTTGCCCAGTG